AGCTATCTAGGTGATTTTAGGAAGGAGAAATGCATTTACATGTCCATCTTTAGGCTTCCATTATTACCAAATTTAACTTCCACATGCATCAAAGTTGCTTTAATGAACCCTAGACTTCTTCATTCTTGTCTTTTATGTTATATTGTAAACAGATGCATTATATTTAAAGGAGCTGACCATCCAAGGTTCTTGAGATCCTTTGAACTCCTTGTGGTATGTTTCACAGCTGATCTAACTCAGGAAGTGAGGAAGGTTTGTAAGGTAGGGACTACATGTGTGCTCTTACTCCCTCATCCTTTGTGCAATATGAGACACATTAGGAGCTGGGGAGATAGCTCAGGTGAAATACTGGCGAGGACATCAGTTTGATCTCCAGAACCTTTATTTTAAAAAGAGCCACCTGTAGTGTTGTGATTACAAGTAGAGACAGACAGATGGCTGAGGCTCACTAGTAAGCTAGCCCAGCCTACTTGGCTAAGTAAGTTCCAGGTCAGTAAGAGACCCTGTCTTTAAGAAATAAAAAAACAAAAACAAAAGACTGCACCCAAGGAAAGCCCAAGGTTTTCCTCTAGCTTCTAAATGCTTGCACACTCATATATTCATGCACACTTGTGCACAGATGGACACATGAGTGTGAGCACACACACACACACATTAATCTCAACATATACAGGATACACATATATCCACATGTTGCATCCAAGGCATAATCCTGTCTAGCAACCACATTTTTTTATTGCTATGGACATTAATCTATCTCAGGGTTATATGTTGCCCTCACTGTGACTGACAAACATTATTTAAATAGTGTAATACGTGTGGGTGTTAATACTTGAAACATACTTCAGTCTCAAGAAATGGGGCTTGCCTGCCAACTCCAGTGGGGAAAGATAAGCAGCCTGCATTAAATGTTTGGAGGTAGTTGTATAAGTATGGAGTCTATCAAGACTCACTGAATAGACCCAGCCACTTGTGTTGGGCATGCACAAGAAGGTAGATTAAGCTTAAAGGGATAAAAGTTTAGTTTGCCCCTTTCCCAGAGGCACCAGGGCATAGGCATAGCAGCTTAAATACACACATATATAAAATCTCTTATGTAATAGAATCAAAATTTCTCTTTTCATCTCAACATCCTATTCCACCTTTAAGTTTTTCCATGCATCTCATGACTATCATCACCCTTGATAATACACATACACACACACACCACACCAGAGAGAGAGAGAGAGAGAGAGAGAGAGAGAGAGAGAGAGAGAGAGAGAGAGAGAGAGAGTTACAACCTGGCTTTTGTCTTCAGCCATACCTTTCTTCTAAAGCTACTTTTGAATATCTCAAAAAAGGACAGTTAATTGCCGGTGTTTTGCAACAAGTTAAGGAGAGAGAATGAAAGCAAACATACAGCCCTCCCTTCTATCAATCTCAAATTAATATGTATCTTGGCCAACAATACCAAATACCTGGATTTGGCCTCTGGATCCTGAAATTCTGTATTCTAAACATTCTACAGCAGCAGAATGCCTTCTTTTTGTTTACTTTCTCCAGGCTGTGGAACATCCCTGAACTGGGAAGCGGAAGTGGTCTGTGCTTTCCCACCGGCAGCCTGCAGGCTCTCTCAGTCCTGCTGCACCTTCATGCTGTAGGTGCCCCCAAGGATGAGGCTTTCCTGTCTGTGTCTCCATGCTCCACAGCCCTTTTATAGCTAGAGGGAGGAGTTTCCTTGAACCAGCTCTTCCTCCTTTTGCTCTGCCTCTCGAGGTGACTGGACCACTACCAAAGCCCCAGTTGGATGGTAGTGTCTTTCTCCTAGATCTGAGCTCTTGCATGCTGGTGAACTCATGAAATGCAGAACTCTTAAGTACAACAGCACTTAATGGGACCAGAAGGTGACATAGCAGCCTCCATTTCTTTCACTATGCTCGCCTTCCGTGTCTTGAGCCTATTTCTATTTTGCATTCATAGCCGGGTATTATAATTATTAAAGCTATCTATCTTTGAACCAGATTCAACCAGAAATGGTTGAATCCCCTTTGCTATATACAGTGTCTGGCAAGTGTCCAATAAAGGCCAATGGGGTCCCACAGACTCAAATGTGGGAGAATGTTACATCACTAGTATTGTTTAAAAGAAAATGCTCTGTTGTACTCAAACTACATGCCTTTAATAGTATTGCCACAAAGAACTTTCCCTATCAGGATTTGGTATGTGCAGATGTACAAAAATCCCATTTTTGTAGAATCAATGTATCTGCTAGTCAAATACAATTTAACTCAGTGCAGACTAGAATTTCTTTGTTATACCTCTGTGAATAGAAAAGCCTATTTTCACAGAAAATAGTGGCTATGTCAATTCTGTAACTGGTATTAAGAACTGTTGGCCATTCAGGTAATCATGTTTTTAACACTGACCCCACACAGCCAAGATACCTCACAATGGCAGCACCTAGGGAAGCCTGCTGTATTCCTCTCAGTGGGAACTTGTCACATGGTCATAAGAACTGGGTTGGTACACAGGTCAGTGACCCTGTGCTGTGTTGGTGTCTATTGTCTGTAAATGAAATAGGTACAGTGACTTTGCAATGTATTGAATATCTGTTTTATATTTTCTACAATCTACTGGAGGCCTCTTAACCAGCTGTACCTCAGAAGCAACACTTGCTTTTTCTGTGCTGCTTAATTCGCATCTGTAAAAGTCTCAGTGATGACTATTCTTATTTTTAGGAAATTTTCTTATATTCAGGCCAGTTACTGTTTTCGGGGGTTTGATGAAAGGAGTCCACCATTTTTTTTTTTTTTCAGAAGAGACTGACTCTGATCTGGTACTCTTTTTGATTAGGGGGCAGTAGTTTTGGCCATCATTGTTTTCTATCCAGAATCAGTGAGGGGTGGATCCATCACAGTTGGGGTGGGGATGTGATACTCTGCTTGAAGATAGATTCAGCAGCTCCAACACAGCCTCCCTTTCTGTTTCATCTGTTGTAATGTTGGAACGGAATTGCTGTGGCTATGGTGAGGAATTGAGTGGAGGGTAATAAATGATGATATTAAGAGGTGATTAGATGCTCCTATCTTCTTGGGGATATCTGTTACACTTAAGACCATTTCCTGCCCCTTTGTACAATGAAAGAAAAACAAACATGCTATTAAACCCGTGTCCTAGTTCGCTTCTGTTGCTGGGATAAACCACTCTGACCAAAATCAATTTAAGGAGAAAAGGGTTTATTCCATCTTACAGCTTCAGGTCCATCACTGAGGGAAGTCAAAGCAGGAATACATGGCAAGAGATGAAGCAGAAATCCCCAGAGGAATGCTGTTTCCTGGCTTTCTCAGCTACCTTTGTTATACACCCCAGGTCCACCTGCTTAGGGATGGCACGCCCATAGTAGCATGGGCCCTCTGGTATCAATTAGCAATCAAGAAAATGCCTCACAGACATGGCATCAGGCCAATCTGATCTAGGCAATTCCTTGATTGAGGTTCTGTCTTCCCTGGTGACTGGATTGTGTGAAGTTGACCGCTGGAGCTAACTATGACAGTTCATTTACCATAGGTTTCTGGAAACTCAAAGAATCCTGCCTGGTTTCTTTGTTCATTATATTCTTTGTGTCTGTTTCTATACACACTGTGTATGTTATGCTTAAAAGCTTGTGTGTGTGTGTGTGTGTGGTATGTGCATACATGGGGAGTTATGTTCTAACACACACATGTTTGGGAGGATGTTAGACATCTTCTTTGATCATTCTTCACCATACTGTTTTAGACAATCTTCATCTGAATATATAACTCTCCATTTTGGCTAGGCTACCAGCTGGCAAGCTCCCAGGATCCACCTGTCTCTATTCCCCAGCGTTGGAATTACAGGCACCCACAATCACGTTTGGCTTCCTCCCTCCCTCCCTCCCTCCGTCCTTTCTTTCTTTCTTTCTTTCTTTCTTTCTTTCTTTCTTTCCTTCTTTCTTTCTTGCTGGGTATTTGAACTCCGGTCCTCTTGCTTTCACAGCAATTGCTATAACCCACTGGAGCTGCCTCCACTGACCTTTAAAGGCTGCTTTTGTGATGAGAATTGATAAAAGCTGAAATCAGTTATTCTAACTGCAAGTTTCCTCACAAATGGGTGGAGACCTACCCTACCCACACTTTTTGAAAATTAGCCATGTACTCTAGTTTCAGATATCATGGCATTCACAGAATTACAGAATTTTAAATCCAGGACACATGGGGAAAGTTCTAGAAACTGTCTACTTTGTATATTTTGTCAGAACTCTGGTTTCTAGGGTGTTTCTGGGTCAAATAAGTTAGAGACAAATGAGTTAGAGAAACCTTGCGTTTTATAACTTCCTCCTCTTGGATCTTCACAGTGAAAAGTTACCTGTCAATCAGCTGGTCCCAAGGTTATTTAACTAGAGATTCCATTTATTACTCCTATGTCCATTCTGCACCCAAAAAAAGAACCTGGTGTCTTTGTAGAGGTAAAAGAACTAGGGACCTATTGGTGATTACCAGCCTCCCCAGAAAGGCTACATCTTTATACCCATAGCAATGGCGTCAAAAATTGCAAGATGATATTGCCCCCTGCCCCGAAATTTATTTAAAGAGTTGCTTCCAAAGTATCCAGGATCCTAGTTTAGAGAGATTTATCCTTGAGCAGATGGGGAAATGTGCCAACTGTCCCATCCAATTGAGTAATACTCTATCCGTAGACCTCAGGAAATTCAAACTGAATAGCATGAAGAACAAAATGCCTTCGAAGCTCTCAGTCTCTGGGCTTGGGAGGGAGAACGCAATAGGCAATTAAACAAGTAAATAAATATGTAATTACAAATTACAATACGTGCGTGAAGAAGAGAGTACTGTCAGATGAAGCTTAAATTTGCAATCGTGTCTTAATTGACCCAGATTCAGAAGGGATCAATAGCGGGTGTTTCTATGCCCGTCCTGATGCTCAGAGCTCATACATTTTAAACCACACAGCAGTCTCTCTCTCTCTCTGTTTCTTTCAGCCCCCGTGGAGCAAAATGAGAGCGCAGTGAGCCAGCTCAGCCTCTCCCCAGCCATCCCCCGACGCCCACCATGAACCACTTGGAGGGCTCTGCGGAGGTGGAGGTGCCCGACGAGGCGCCAGGAGGGGAGGTGAACGAGTCCGTGGAGGCCGACCTGGAGCACCCCGACGTGGAGGAGGAGCAGCAGGCGCCCCCGCAGGCCGCAGGCCGCCACGGTGCGCTCGATGACCCCCGTGCGCAGCTGGCTCGGCAGCAGCAGGAGGAGGAGGAGCGCGGGGAGAGCCTGGCCC